ATGGAAGCCTAATGGAGACACAAAGCCAGTGAGTAGAAAGGTTGACAGAGCCTTGACAGATTCAATACTAGTGCCACTTATCGTTCTTTCTTCTTAACTGTGACACAGCATCTCAAAGAACCATTGGAGATGAAGGCTTCTCTGTGGGGTGCACTCATACAACTGCTGCTATTAATCACCTCCTGTCTGAAGGACTATGCATATGAAGTGCCCTGCAAACACGGTGAAAAGGGGGGAAAAGGGAAATTAGAAAGGTAAAATGATCTGCCACAGATCTCACAAGAGGCCAGGATGAGAAGAAGAAGTTGTTAAGCATCCTGCTTATTGGCCTTACTCATTAGCCTAACTTTGCACCACGTGTTAAAGTCAGGGCATACACCAAATACACATAAGAAAACTACATATCGTGAATTATCACCTCTGATTCAAATCAAGGTCCCTTTGTTGCACAAACTGACTATTTTCAACAGGAACATCTTAGTACCTCTCTTCTCTCCATGTGCATCCCTATAGCACACTGGAACTACAACAGGAAATTGCCACCTTACCAAAATAAATAAAACTGGTGGTTCCTTTGGTAGCTCTGAGCGCTTACAGTAAAATATCAGCAAAAGTTTCTTCCCACCAGACAGGGAAACTCCTCTGCTCTGGAGAGTGACTCAGCTGGGACATAGTCCAGAAGGCAACAGGAGATGAGGGACCCCAGTGGCGCTTTTCCAGTCTTAATCAGCACTGTCTGCATGGTGATAGAGACTGATAAGCTGCCAGAAGTAATTTCTTTCTGTAAGACTTGAAACAGTGGTCCAGAACAGTTGTGATCTTTGTGTGTGCGTATTTTGGATTGGTTTTGTTTTTTTTAAATGCAGAATCAAGGGCATTAATTTCCCATGGTGGCCAACAAACAATTTTCATAGTTTCATCCTAATCTCCTGTAAATATCCATTTCTCCTCCCCCAATCTTACCCTATTTCTACTCCACAAAGTACTCTTTTTTTTCACCAACAACTCAGACATGCCTATCGACAATAGCACATTTATCAACGGGGAGGGCTGTGACAGAGAGAAACTATCCCTACTGCACAGTGCTTAACACATTTGGGAATCCTTTCTAATAAAAAGGGATTTGATTAAAGACAGCCGACTACCACAGATCAGCAACTGAATCAGCAGTAAAGAGGGAAGAGTAGCTTAGACTTAAGAGACTTCAATTTGCTGATCTGCCAAGGACTTCCCAGGAGAAGTCACTCCATAAAGCCATTCCATAACTTACAGGAGGGGGTATACACCAAAGACTGGGATGCTTAGATTTAGTATGGTAGTGTGGCCTTTCAACAAAATTAAGTTAGGCAGAATACCCAGCATGCATGTTTAACACCTAAAACATTAGAGTGTTTTTTTAATTATTATGCTCAATGATGATATTTCCATGTTTAAGCACTGCCTTGCCAATGGCAGTTAGAGGATTTCCCGGTGACTGGACCATGCTGCTGCGGTAATTGTAGGCAACAAACAGCAGCAAACTGTGATCTTGCTGCTCCAAAGTGTGTCTCCAGCCGCTGCTTCCAGCACTGACCACGCACCTGGGCTCCCCAGGAACGCAGTGTGAACCCCGCCGTGCTGCCGGCTGCGTGTCCTCGCATGAGCCATCACTGGTGGGAAGAGTTCCCCCAACTCTGAAACCACCTTCAGTCATTTCCACCCAGGGAAGCTGGGGAGAGGTGAGTGAGCATGGACCTGATGGAAGTGCTGGCTGTCCTGCTCCTGAACTCCACTCACCTACTCTGCCAGCGGTACCAGCCAGCATTTCCAGGGCATAGAGGCAACTTTAGTGGCTTCCCTTCCCCCTCAAGGAACCCCCACTCTGCCCATGCTGACTCCAGAATCAAGATGGCTTGATTGGAAACCAGAGATACAGCAAGTGAAATTGCAGAAGGAAGATGGTTACAGAAAAGATCCCAGAGTGCTGACGGGCCAAGTAAAATGACCTTTCTCCAGCCTGACAGTTCAAATGTAATTATTCCAACAAATTATTTTCATGACTTAATATAACGCCTTGCAGCTTTCTAGCAAGGTTAATTAGATTCCTCAATTCAAAATCTATCTGCTCTTAACCAACTTTTAATACGCTGAAATCCAGTTTTCTAAATTCAAACTAATAAAAGTGATTAGCTGACAGCTATCTGGTATGCTACAATTACCATGGCATTTAGACCTCAGGCAGAAGATATTTAATGCAAATCAGAGTCAATGTCTCTGCCCATTTGTCCTTTTTCTGATTATTTGATCAATGTGCCATATGAATCTTGTACAACCCATGCTTCCATGCTAAACAAATAAAGAACAAAGAATAAAGATATTGGTTGAGACAGTTAACCAAAGTTGAAAGACTCTTTTTTTTCCTCCTACACTTAATTTGTTCTTTCCACATGACCATGAAGTTCCTGAAAGGCACTGGCTGACAACTCTAGTAGATGGGTATTTAGCTTTGACATAGCCTGAATTAGTATGTAACTCCTGGCCCGCACTGCTGCATCAAAAAGCCTCATCCACTGTGACACTAGAGACCACATTCCTCTGGGAGTAGCTTGGGCTGGAACAAACCTAGGAGGATGTGGGCAGCCCACATCTTTGATACTATCCAATCATAAAAAGTAGTTGTGCTCCAGAACTTCTGGTTTTATGTTTTTCGTGGTAGGTATATAATTAGTTATGGCCGTGTCTCCCAAATGGCTGCATGGGGCACACCATGCTTAGAGAGCTGAGAAGGATTTCAGCCCAAGACACGGTTCTTCTGCACATCAAGAATGATGACCTTCAGTGGCATAGACTCAGTGCAATTAGACGATCAGTCAGGTGCAGCTTTTAATTAAACACCACCTGCCTGAGGTAGGACTAGTGTTGGTGTTTGGTTTTCATCTTCCAGCTTGCATCATGCATGATTATTCCATCTTTGATCAGGCTACTGCTTATATAAACAACGCTGGCAAAATTTCTGAATACTCTTGGAGCCTCCTTTCCATTTTCTTGTCTCCTGCTGAATTAAGAGCTATTGGCATGGCATTGGTCTGACCTTCCATCTGAGAGCCAAATTGATGACATAAAGTTGAGACTTATGCTCCAACTCTTTTGGATGAAAAAACTTTGATGTATACCACACTCTCAAACAGAGCTGAGCCATCTTAGAGATACAGTATTACTCTGCGAAACCCAAGTATTTCAGCTTCATAAATACAAGTGCTAAACAAAACTAAACCTCCACTTCAGGAAGCAATTTCTAAGCTGTGAGGAAAATTAATCACTAGAACAGCTTATCAGGGTAGGTGGTTGACTCACCATTGCTTGAAGTCTTTAAGATAAGATTAGATTTTTTTTTTTTAAAGTCATGATTCAATCATGTTTCTGAGAGAAACTGCAAGTAGGACATTAGGCAGTATAATGGCAAGGTCCTTTCTGACCTTGGATCCTGTGAGTCTCCAAGTTCTTCATTCACCTGCCTACTTTCTTGGGCTATGAGGAGAACTGGATGGGCTTTGGTCCATGAACCAGCTCCTGCCATTCACAGATCTGCATTAAGAAAATGACTGTAATCAAATCTCACGCTTCAGGGCTTCAGCCATTTGCCTGAAGGGAGCGGGGAAAAAGGTTTCTCCCTCCTGCCCGCCCACGCTAATGGCTAAATACATGTTACGTTTGTTTGGTTGTTGCTTTTCTCTTAAAACATCAGAGTGAACATAAATGGATAAGGGCAGAGATGAAGTCAAATGCAGCAGCACAGATATCCTTTCTTCAGTTAGTCATTCTTGCTCACACCTCAGATCTGTGCTAGTCATCACTTCTGATGACTATCAATGTTTATACAGAAGATGTTTCGGCTGTGAGTGTGGAGACCATAGAAGGTAGAAGGTACTGATGGAGAATGGGGACTGATATCAACCCCATCTACAAGGGCAATATTTGTTTAATGAGAACATCTTGACCTTCTCATGTAATCAGATCCTTGTCACTGCAGGATAGTTGTTTATTAGTGAAACCTTGGTCCCACCTGCTTTCTGATTAAACCAAACCACAAACGTTTCTTTAAGCCAGAAATATTTTGGTCCAACCAAAATCCACAGCAAATAGACCCTGGGGGGCTATTTAAATTAAGTTTTTAAAAAAATAAGAAATAAAGGAAGATAAAGAGCACAAAATGAATGGCCTACTCCAGTCTTTAACTCTACAAACTACAGCATTTTATTTCCTAACAAAACTATAAACCAAGCCAGTAAGAAACTAAGCATTCAGCCAAGATGCATCAAATGTGCCCAAGGCTCTTGACTTTAATGCAGAGTTCAGAGGCCATATCGCCTGTTCTACACAGTCAAGATATGTATTCTACATTTATAGATGCCCGAGATAATTGCATGCTATACCACTTAAAAAGGAAATTAGTTGCTTATCTTTTTCCAGGCAAGGAAGATGACATGGTTATAAGCCAATCAGTTCAGATTTGTCTTCCTTGTACGTGTTGAACCCAGTTCTGGGCTAACGGTTCTCCATGTAAAACCAACCTGATTGACTCGAAATGGATTTCCTTTTAATCTATGCCAGCACACAGAAAATGAAAATCCATGCCTTAGGAGCAGAACACATTTACACTGCCGGGTCTTTTGCAGCTGCAATGAGAAGGGATAGGACAGGTGGACAGGACAGTGCACTGCACCTAAATTCAGCCTGATAGCCTGGAAGTTAGGGACGGATAGTGCAAAAATGAACCAGACACTGAAAATCTAACTGACAACCAGAAACACTATAAACATACAACAAGTGAGCATGAGATTTATGCTGAAATTATAGAGGAATTCCTATGGATGATTACATTTCCAGCCCAAGCATATAAAGCAAATCCATCAATACGAATATCACTACATTATTAACAGCGCAGCTGCCAGGCCTCCCCGTTAATGAAGCTGGTAAATACAGAAAGGGGCTACGGGCACTCATGACGTAGCACTGCTCACCAAAGTAGTCATCGGAAGGAGGATTCTCCATGTCATACAGCATTTTCTTGGTCAGATGCTCCAGCTCATCCTCAGGCCTGAAGGCAGGAGTGCTTGACGCGGGTCCAGAGCTTGGATACCCACTCTGTAAAAAAAGGACAAACAGTCTGTGATGTGGTAAAAACCATTCACCCACAGTAAGAGGGCCTATTGGCTGCTCAGTCTTGAACTTCATTCTTTGTCTTACTTTTGCTTTTTTTAAAACCCAAGGGATTCACTCAAGTAAACATCTCATTTAATGTAATGAAAATGGACTCCTAAAAACATCCAGTGAAGTGCTATATATCCTCCTAGAATGAGAAGTATTTTATGCCTCATAATTAGGTGTGTACTGGGTAGAACATAATAATAAATAAAGGAGAAAATTATTCCAAGGATAACTTGATACAAACATTTTCCTACACTGAAAAAGGCTTTGGAAGCATTTCAGTTTGGATTTGGCAACAGCTTTCATCACTTAACAACACAATATAAAAAATGCTAGAACAATCGTTCCTACACTGGTGGAGTATATGGACAAAGACAGATAATCCCGAGCTGCTAGTTATGTTCTCTTCTTGTTTGTTTTGACACAAATCCTGCTGTTAACATTAGGGAGAGCAGGAGCTGGTCCACAGATCTTTAGTAGTAGGGATACAAAGGTTTTAATATGTGCTTAGAAACTGAGACCTCTTGGCCTCCATTTGCTAACAGCTGGCATTGAGTATTTGCAGTCTGTCTCAGTGAGTCTTCTCCCTGGAAAACAGCAGAAGCACATGTATATTTTGAGAAGCACAGAAATAGTCTCATGCCTAGAAGTTTCTTAGAAGCTAAGTTTGGTGTCCATAATGAGAAACTCGGTCATTTCAGGATTAAAAAATGCTGACACCAGCTTCCCTTGCGTGCACTGCTTTCTTGAAAGACTTGCATGCGAAAACTAACTTATTTATGAAATGCAGCATTTCAGTAAAGCAAGTGAAGTGATTTCATTGATTAATTGCTGCCTTTTTCAAGGATCTGACCTTAGATATGAAGCTTATGAGCCTTAGTCTATAAGGAAGCATTTTCCCATGCTCCACACCTATTTAAATGAGAAGAAAATGTAAAATCACTGGAGAACCAATACACTGGCCACCTCTGTCTGGCTTAGAGAGACTACATCTGACATGATGAATCTTTATTGAGCCAGTCATGTTCAACAGAGAACAGCAGCTTTAAAGCACTGCAAGAGAATTAACTTAATGCTTTCACGCTTTTTTTCTTTCAGGCAGGAAGAAGCTTTCAAATGAGACATCAATCAATGCAGAGAAAGTCTCAGAATGGTGCTTAGCAATAATACTTCAATCATCCACTCCCAGAAACCAAACACTTGCATGTTCCTGACCTTGTCATATTTTTTTTTTTCTAGGGCCCATGCTGAGCCGTGCACCATCACCTCCCTTGGTTGTTGACCTGACCTATCTCACAGGCGCTGCATCCATGAGTGCAGATGATGATGGCACCTCCTGGAAGTGCTGGGTTTCCTGCGTACACACCGTACGGCAGCTGCACCCCCTGCTCCCCGCCAAACCACCCTCTAACAGAGCAGCAGCAGCACACAAGGGAGGTGGGTGGCACATCCCCTGGAAGAAGGGCACCTGGAAGGACCCTCAGGCTGGATTAATTTCCCTGGAGGGCTATGCAAGGTCTATCTGCAGTACGTTCAGCCTCCCTGGCAGAGAATATAGGTTGGATCTACCATACATTCAGGTTTTCCCAGAGATGTTTTCTTTTTCTACTCAGGGATTTTTTTTCTGAGCACTATTCAAGGATTTTGTGCATTTGTCCAGGATTCCTAAATGCCTAGCAGTTGTTCTGAGGAAGCTGTTGAACATCTGGAAATCTTGAATGTCCACACACAGTTCAGTAAACTCTATTGTATAAATGCAACCACACTGATGTGCTTGGGTTACCACGATTTATTTTTTCATATGGGGAGACAGTCCTGCATGGTGCATAGGACTTGCATTCGCTTTCTAAGTCACGTAAGTGCCATCTCTGTGGGATATATCATTTTGGTGAGGATAAGGCCACTCATATGACTAGGAGTTTCAGAGCCAGGTACTTGACCCAGCACACCCAGACGCCCTTGGCCAATGCTTTGTGGCTGTTTTTAGAAGGCTAGTTGACAACTATTTCATTAGAAATAATAAATAGCATAACCCTAAAAAAAAAAGTTTATTAATAAGCCAATTAAAGGTGCCAAATGTAAAGCATTTAATCTTGGAACAGCCTATTTTTTTCCTTTGCTCTCTTGTTCCTAAGAGCTGATCATGATTCTTGCCTGAACATATATTTTAACACAGCAAGTGCAGCCAAGGATTTATTAGCTTGGGAAATCAATCTGGCAACTGAACCTCTTAAAGTATTATTCCATCTCTTGTGCCTATTTCAGTTTCCATGCAGAAAGGAATGACCATTGCCACCCCGTCAACTGAGTCCTCTTCCCTACACTTTGCATAGAGAAGACAGAACAGCATGAAGCTGGTGATGGCCTCCATCCCTGTATTTTCTCTGTAAGCAATCACCAGTGCGGCATGAACGTGTGGGAGTACCACGCTCCAGCCTCTTCTGCTGGGCTCTGTCCACACATAACCCAAAACACTGCTTTTACCCTTGCTTCTTTTATGATAAATGGACCAAAACAGAAGGCATGAGCTGCTGCCTGTTCACAGCAAAGGGAAGCAAGATGCATGGAGCTGAAGCCCCATGGGTCCACCCTCACACACATCCCGCTGGGGCTGGACTCAATGTGTCAGACCTGCACTGGCCACCCTCTGACCCAAGGCCACCGTATCTGCAGCCTTCGCAGGAGACACTGGGCCGGTGGCATGTGAAGCCTCTCCCTGTCTTCCACATCAGCTTCCCACACCCCCCATGGCGGGGGGCCCACTTGTGCCCCCTGCAGTAAGGGCTTGAGCTGTGCCATTTAGCATGAAAGACCAAAATCTGCAGATTTTCAGTTCTGTTTGACTTTCTCTGGTTTTGGAGGCCATGCACACAGAATAAATAGGCTGCTCTTGTATTTTAGCTACATTGCACTTTTCCAAATCAGGCAGATTTCTTATCCAGCACCCAATGTCAGCAAAAATAACAAATACCAACCACAATGTTATGAGATGCCTTAACTTATTTTGACTAAAATGCTATGCCTTTTTGACCAACATTTAAGCAGTGCTAGGCACATCTTTTTCCTCCTCGCACGGCACATGCTGACTGTGTGCCTCCAGGAAAATGCATTTCATGCATATGAACATGCTGTTGAGTTTGCTGGGACATGCACGCACACAAACATAGACAGAAAAGTGTATCCTCAGTCCAATCTAAAATGCTTGTTTCAGCAAAACAGTTTCCTTCCTCCTCCTTTGTTAGGTCAGGGTAAAAATATAACTTTGGCTTTCCTTACAAAACAGAGTTGTTTTGTTGTTGTTTATTAAACTTCCTCTATTTTCTCCTGATCTGTACAATCATCAAGGCTGTCTAGAAATCCAATTTGCTATCTAATCTACCACAGTTATCTTCACACATTCTCTTTTCTCCATGATACCTTGATGCACAAAAATATATAGCTCCTTAGCTAGGAGGTATATACACAGCTCAAAGCTGGGGTCTGTAATGAATTGCGACATGGCCTCCCAAATTCCCTGAGCACCACTCTGTCCAGCAAACCACAGCAACGCCAGGGATGACAAACTGACCTATGAAAATGGGACAGCACCTTAATCCACAAAAAGCCAGCAGGAGGGACCATGTTTTGGGAGCAGGAGCACCTGAGTCCAACCTTTGCTACTGCCATCAAATACCAAGCAACCTCAGGGAAGAGCAGAACAATTTCAGTTGCACGTGCAGATGCAAATGCATCCATGAATAAACACTGTCCTGTATGCTTAGCTAATGGGATGTTTAGGAAAATACCAGCATTCCCAGGGTTAAACCCTGTGGCAGAAAATATCTTCACGCTACAAACGAAAGGAAGTGAGTTAATCGCTTGTGCCACTATCAAAGCGCTGCAACAACATCTGGCTCATCTTCCTCATTAAAGTTCAGTTCCTAAAAAGCCAGGTCAAAAGAAGCAGTCGCGTGGAATCACTACATAATTATTTTGGTACACAAATTTGGTACTTGTTTCAGTGCTTCTCTGGTGCATGTTTCCCAGTCCAGACCTCACTGGTTATCAGCTGTCTCTGATGTAATGGCTGCCCGGGAAAGGGAGCTCTGCAGTTAGTGAAGTGCATTCGCCAACATGAACCTTCCCCATCCACACACAAATTTTTACTCAACTGGGTAAAAAACATAGCTCAAAATCTGCAAAGACATCTGAAGATGATGCTGTGATGAATGTGCCATCATTCAGAGTGCACTGTATGTGGTCATTTTTCTTGTCCATTTGCAAATGTTGTAGAAGAAGCTTCTTCTCTGAGAGAAAATAACTTCAATTATGTGTTCCCAATTACAGAAACGTGGAAATTATCTTCTTTTCAGAAGGTAGAATTAGCCCAATTTGGAATTGAAAGGCAGCCAGAAACATCTTTCACTGATACTTACTTTCCCTTTCATTTTTTTCTTCTTGTTCATCTGCATAAAGTTAGCACTTTCCTTTCAGTTCACTCACCAGAACTGATCATCAGTTAAATAAACAGTTAAATAGCAGCACAGCACATTTTTTTACTCAATGGCCTGACAAAGACCATGCTTTTTCATTTAAGTTATTGACTGTCCAAAACAATCGCAAACTTTCAGACCAAAAAATCCAGCATGGTGCCACATCTCTCATGAGTCGTACTCCCAAAGAAATATCAAGATTGCCTGCAGCTGTAATTCAGTTTATAATTAAGGCCAACTGATCTCTCTTACAGAGGAGATGCACTGGGAAAAAATATTTTAATTCTTGATTTATTTTCCCAGTGAAAAGTTACAGCTGCCAGAGTACATACAGATTCCTGAAAAGACGATTCTGCCTGGATTCCCTCCAACACGCACGTTCCCATGTCTACTCCTGCTTGGAGAAAAATTCATGGAGATCCTTTGAAGAAGCTGCCCTGCACGAGAAGGTACCCACTGACAGCC